GCTTTTGGCAACAAAGATCTCAGGAGACGAGCTTTTAAAATGATTGTGTTTCTTGGTTTGGTGTGTGTGTGAGTGTGTGTGTGTGTGTGTGTGTGTGTGTGTGTGTGTGTGTGTGTGTGTGTGTGCGCGCCGTGCAGATGGACTTCCAGGAAGTTGTAAGATCCCTCACGTGGGTGATGGAACCTGAACTTGCATCCTTGTGAAGATAAAGCCCTTATACCCACTTGAGCTTCTCTCCAGCCCCACGATTTTGTTTCTATTTTAAGAGCTAGAAAAAGGACAAATTTACAAATGAAAATGACAGAATTGGGTATGCATGTTGTAACTTAGGAATGTGAAAAATGACAGAATTGGGTATGCATGTTGTAACTTAGGAATGTGAGAAGGGGGTAGCCACACATGCTTGGTGGCACTGAGGCAAGGCCACGTAGCATGAAGTTCCATGTGAGCGAAGGCTCAGACAGCTGCTCCAGGAAAATAAATTTAGAATGGATTTTCATAGAAGAGTGAGAGGAATAGTCATGGGACGTGAAAAGATTAAATGGATGAGGGAGAAAATAAGACACTGCATTAGCACTGGCTTCTTCTCCAGATCTGCTCAATTTCCCTGTGACCTTAGGGGAGCTGAGTAACCTTGGTCATGGTATCACTAATAGGCAATGCAAGGAACTGAATTGCTGCTGCATGTAAAGCGGACTACCCAGTGTCTAGCATAGGGCGGTCAGGAAGAGCTGGTTGTCTGGATGTCTCTGTCTCATAGCACCGAGAACCCCTGAAGAACTGATTGCCTATGGGATGAGAGGCCACACTGTCAAGTTACAGCAGTGTCTGAGCTCTGCGGACTTGATTTTCCTGCCAGTGATCAAAAGGAACTCTGAATTGAGAATGGAGTCACAACAGGAAGTAGGCTGCCATAGAGAGGAAAGCTGCCTAAGGAAGGGGGTTTCTCTTCCTACTGGTATCAAATGCCAGCTGAAGTCACAAGGCCACTCCTCCTGACTGCTTCTCCTTGGCTCACCGTATGTCTTTAACAAGGTTTTCTGTCTTACCATTTGGTTGCCCAGTCTATATTTGGACCCGAAACACTCTTAAGTTTTGCAAATGAACTTTATTTGATCAGTGTTTTCAATGACCTCACCTATGCAAAAAGTCTTATATAACCCATTTTATTGTTAATTCTAGTAATTTCAAGTTCATCTTTTATAACAATGGTAACCTCTGACTGTACTAGAATAGAAGTTATTTCATGAACAACTTCCCAGTGAATATTGATTGAATAATGGTTGTCTGGTAAAGAAAGGTATGGGAACATCGCCATACATGATTTCATTCATAATTGGTAAAGAATATATGCTGTTTTGTGCAATTAGTGTGTTTACCTTGAGTTGTGAAGCACAGAAGGAAACTGTACCTTCAGGTACACTCAGTGTGGACCCATGATGTGTATGACCTTAAGTTTGTAGATAAACACACTGCCTACAAGCACTTTCTTCTAATTTTAAGGTTTAATTAGCAAAGTATTGTTTTACTGTTGCAATTTCAAGCATGATTTGTTTCTGATCATTTGCCCAATCCCTTCTCTTCAACACCCAATGGCTTCTTATCTTCCATGCCACAGGTGTTTTATTATCTCTTCCCTTCTTCAACAACCCTTGTCATCTCCTGGTCCCCTTTCTGGTTACAAGATCCATAACTTCACATGTATATTTAGCGCTAGGACCTACATGTGAGAGAAAACATGCTACATTTGTCTTTCTGAGTCTGGGTAATCTTCTTAAAACATTTTTCAGAGACATCTACTTTCCTTTAAAGTTCATAGTTTCATTTATCGTTATGGTTGAATAAAATTCCATTGTATATACAATTGCACTGTACATTTTCATTATTCATTCATCTATATATGGACATCTAGGCTGATTGCCTAGACAGTGTGAATAAAAGAGCAATAAATGACCATGTGCAAGGATCTCTATGATAACATATACACTGTTAGGAATATGCTCAAAATGTCCACAAGTACTTTTTATTTTTCTGTCTTCTCCCAAAGATCTTCTAGTTTTAATCAATATCACCAAGATATTAAACTCATACTGCTAAAGCTGGTACACAGACAAAATAACTTTTGTTAGAGACTTCACTGGGCTCTCAAATGGCCCCTTTCTTCAAGCAAATTCTGAAGTTGTTAAGGAGTAAAATGCAGGAGAAAGGCTGGTGGGAAAAAAGGAACAGAGAAACAAGTTCCTTGCACATTAGCCTAGAATCTAACCCTGATCTCAAAGCAAGTCTCCATCTCACACATTTAACTTTTGGCATCCTGTCCCCATGCTTCCTGGTACCTAATTTTGGCCCACACAGCTGTGAGTTTGGCAGAAGCAGAAATCTGATTTAAAAAGAAAACCCTGATATGGTGGCACACACCTGTAATCCTCGTACTCCTAGGGCAAGATGGGAGACAGATGAGATAATTGGCTAGATGTTCTTGGCCCATGTAGCCAGAGTACACAGTATAGCACAACAGAAACAATGAGAGAGAATATGCATCAACAAAGAGAAAGGAAAGAATCAACTGCCCCAAATTATTCATATATACATATGTGGCATGTACTTACCTACATCCATACATACCACATACAATAATGATAATGATAAATTGAATGTTTAAAAAGTTTTTTAAGAAGTCCGCTCAAACCACAGCTGTCCAAAATGCCCACCAGCAAGGGAATTTAATCTACATATCATAAAGCATCAGTCAATGTAGGAATATTCAATCATCAAACATATAAAGCCTTTATAACAACATGAAGAATATCTGAGAAATAATGTTATTAAAGAAAGAAGAAGCCATAAGATTATACATGCAATGTGGTAGTAACCTTTAAAAATGTACATGTGGGAATAAAGCTTTGGATGGAGCCTAGAAAGCAGAAGCAACTATTGGGTTTGGGTATTTTTATTCTCTAGTGCTTAAATAATTAAAGAAACCAGTGGTACTATATAGACATAATAGCAGCAGCACCGCCATCCCCCAAATAAGAATCACCCTACTCAAGAGCCGAAGGGTACTGGCAGACCTCCAACAGGGTCCTGACTCCAGACACCCCATGTCTGCATGATTTGGAGTCAGAATGCAAGCCCTGCTGTTGCTTCCATATGTCCTCACTTTTATTTTTAAGACTCTCAAGAGTCTAAGAATTCTACATTTTAATGGTAACGCTCTTCACTTAGAAATTCAGATGCCAAGTAGAAATGTCGCAAGACACCGAGGTCCCTGAAGATGAGGTATCCTTACAGAGAGCTGACGGAAAACCCATGTCCTCATATCATTTTAACAGATTCAGGTAACTTTGGCGAAATTCACGGCTGTGGGATTTACACAGTCTTTCATTCAGGGAGACATCTGTGATGTAGTCAGCTTTAAGCTGTTTTTGATCATTTTCTCAAAATGTATATAGAGAACTCACATATAAGAGACACTCAGTGGCAGCAAGATGCAAACTAATGCATAATGCATCCTTGGTTCAAAACATTTCATGTCTCCAGAACTTCTACCTGACCAGTTTATCACAGTCCTCCCCGTCTGTGTCACAATGGGTACTTCCTCTAAAGTGAGAGACAAAGGGTCCAGTTGTCACTGGTTTACTAACTCCATGTCCTGGCTTCCTTATCACACAGGGAACTTCCCTTGGGCATGAATACCCAGCTCCAGGTTTTTGAAAAATGTGCACAGCTACAAAAACATCAGACAAGGCCTTAAGACAAAGCAGAGAGAGCTCGCTGCCTCTGGAGCATGTTAGATGGGAAACTAGAGAGTCTGACAGCTGAAGAAACGGTGGGGATTCTTGCTCAGGGGGATGGGAGCTAAAAAAAACACAAACAGCCACTGAGTGAGACCCTAAAACTCATTTCTTGGTTCAGTGGGGACAGGAACAAATCCAGGAGAGCTGACAGATGCAAGGTACAAACTAGGAGGCAGTGTGCACAAAAAGCAAGTGAGTCTTGCCTGAAGCAGTACTCATCCCTAGGTTCTCTCTCAGTCTCTCTACAAGGTTAGCCGGATGAACTTGGCCTTGGAAAATGTTTTGTCCCCTTTCAAGCACTTTTCCCACTCACAGTCATATATATATATATATATATACATATATATATATATAGTATATATATACATACATACATATATATACATAATATATATTATATATATAGTCCCATGTCACATACAATTGCCTGAGTCCCTGCTCCCTTCCATGTTTGCTGCAATCCTTTCATCTTTTCCTATATTATGCTTACCATGCCTTCTAATAATTATTATCATGTGGTTCCTAAGTACCATGCTTTAAACGTTCCTTGAGAACAATGCCCTTTCATATGCATCTCTGCCCACAGTGTGCTAGTGAGGTTCTTGGCAGCTAGAAGATGTTCAATAATCTTTTGATGTATGGTGACATCTCTATCATAGATACAACATACATTGGAATATTCCCTATCCTCTACACATCAGTTAGAAGGTCCACAGAGGGAAGAAGGGCTGTATTATTAATCCACAATACTAATCCAGTGCCTAGCACCCAGAAGTGTAGACAGAGTTTCTATCCCACCTGGTCCAGCAGCTATTTAGTCCCAAATAAACACACTGAGGCTTATATTAATTGGAAACTGCTTGGCCAATGGCTCTGGCTTCTTATTGGTTAGCTCTCAATTAGCCCATTTCTATTGAACTATGTATCTCTATATAGCCTTGACTTGCCAGAGAATGCCCGAACCTGTTATTCCTTTGGCCGTCACATGGCGTCTTTCAGGCGGTTCATTCTCTGCATCCTCTCCCCAGAATTCTCCTCATCTGGTATCCCCACCTGTACTTCCTACCTGACTACTGGACAATCAATATTTTATTCATCAATCAATAAGAGAAACATACATACAGAAGGACATCACAGAAGTACCCATTACAGATATGTTAGAAGGTGAATGTATATTTAGAGATACATGACTCCCAGCACTCATCATGGAATTCTTTATTATTTTGGCAGCATAACAGAAAGAGGGGAGATGACATGAGGTTGTCCTTCTTAAGAAATGACTTTTGCCTGTTCTGGTCCTCAACCTATTTGGGTATAGTCAGAAATTTAAACAGCAAGCATAAGACATAACAGATTTGAAAAGTACGAAAACCCTATTAGACAACAGTGTGATGCAGACATGACAGTGCAGCAGACAATAGTTGATGTTATTGAATCGGATCATCTCTATTGCAAGTGAAGATAGAGGTGTTCCCCAGTAAATACGTTGGCAACTATTGGCATGATCACCAAGTGCAGTGACCCATCATCCCCAAGGTATGTGAGCATCACAGTGGAAAGGGGAACATCCTCTCTCTTCTTAGCAAGGTATCACTCTCTTCTGAATTCCTAGAAGGGTTGTGGTGATACTTCTAAAATAGAATAAAGAAAATTTTAATTTATCCTTGTTTTAATTTTTAAAGTGTTTTCTTTCATTTAATTTGGAAATTACAAATTAATACATTTCTCCTTTCACTTTCCTCCTTACAAAACCTCCCATATACCACTACCAACTCTTCTTCAAGTTCATGGCCTCTTTTTTATTGTTATTGCATGTATATGTTAATTTATATATGCATACATATTCCTAAATATAACCTGTCGAGTCCATATAGCGTTACTTGCATGCATGTTTTCAGGGCTGACCACAAACAAAGAAAACATTTTCAAAAAATAAATAAATAAAAATGAGGATAAGCCTTAAATTTTCTTCATTCTATTTTAGAAGCATTACCACAACCCTTTTATGAATTCAGAACATAGTGGTACCTTCCCAGGTATAAGACAGGCAGTTCCCTGTTCCACAGTGATGCTACCATACCTTGGGGATAATGGTCCATGGATGTTCATTGACACTGAAAAACCAATTACTCCCTGGGGAAGACCATCTCTCCCTCTTCCAGCTTTACCAAGTTGCCTGTTGTTCTTTGTGTAGGATTGGGACTTCATGAGCTTTTTCCCACCCAGTTTGGCATGTTTGTTCGTATACATATCCCTAAGTTTCTCATCATGGCCTTAACCTCACCTGTAGCACAGGCCTGAACTCTTACCCCAACCTCTAGAGTAGCTTGGGATTACAGGCCTGTGCCACCAGCCCAGCCTCGGGAGAGTCTTGAGTCTGGCTTTCACTACGTATACACGATCTGTGCGAAAGATTCAGGCATCAGCAGTTTCCAGGGCTCTTCAGGCACAGGTCTACAACAATTTCACATAATCACAGCCATCTTTTGGCCTTCTAGCAACCCAAGCTTCTCAGGAACCAAGTACCACAACCAGCAAATGAGAGAAATAGGAATGGGTGGTAATTAAGAGTTGATTGTGAACTTGACAGGATCCAGGACCACCTTGAAGATTAAACTTCTAGGCACATCACTAAAGGAGTTTCCTGATTGTGTTAACAGAGATAAAAAGCTAAGATCTGTGGGCAGCACCATCCCATGCTGGGGTCCCTGACTGAATATGTAGAGAAAGCAAGCTACACACCAACATCCCCTCCTCCCTTCTCTCTACTTCCTAATTGCAGATACAGGGGACCAGCTGCCTCACACCCCAGCTGCCATGCCCACACCAACATGATGGACTGTACCCTCAACCTATGAGCCAAAGTAAATCCTTCTCACCTTTAAAAAGGAGGGTATATCCAATGGGGAGATGGCCCAGTTCTAAGAGCACATGTTTCTCTTACAGAGAACACCCACATGGTGGCTTCACATCTATCCATAATCCAATTCCAGAGGCTCCACCAGCACCCTCTTGCAACTTCTTCAGGTGCCAGGCATGCATTTGGTGTACATGCACACTAAAGCAGATGAAATAAGTAAGTAAATTTTAACACATTTTTCCACCTATCTTTCATGTTGAGTCAAAGAAATGTAAAAATAACTTAATTCACATTGAAGAACAAAAACAACTTTAATTCCAGTAAAGGAGTGTTTCTAAAACACTCTGAAATTTTTCAGTGAGAAGACCATGACTTTTGTTGCTTTTCAGGAGGCCAACATTTTTACTGTGCTTCTGAATTAAATGTAAACAAACTGTTTGCAGACTATTTAAGTGAGTTGAAAGGATGACTTCCAATAAAGTAAATATTGTTTATTTATTTATTTTTACAGTGCTGGGAATGGAATCCAGGGTTTGCCAATGCTAAGCAAGTGCAGAATTGGATTCATAAGAGTCAAGGAAGAGGAATTGCTCTAGATGCCCTTCAACTGAAGAATGGATGGAGAAAATGTGGTACATTTACACAATGGAGTACTACTCAGTGGGGAAAAAAGAATGGAATCTTGAAATTCCTAGGCAAATAGATGGCACTAGAAGAAACCATCCTGAGTGAGGTAACCCAGCCACAAAAAGGCAAAAATGGTATGTACTGATGCATATATGGAAATTAGACATAGAGCAAAGGATTACCAGCCTACAATCCACACCACCAGAGAAGCTAGGAAAAAAGAAGGATCTTAAAAGAGACATACATGGTCCTCTAGAGAAGGGAAAAGGGGCAAGATCTCCTGAGCTAATTAGGAGCATGGGGGGAGGGAAGAGGGAGTTACGAGAAACAGAAGGGAAGAAGAGGAGGGGAGGGGTTGACATGAGGGAGCAAGAAGATTGAGTCAGGGGAAGAATAGAGGAGAGCAAGAAAACAGATACCATAATACAGGGAGCCATTATAGGTTTAAAGAGAAATCTGGCACTAGGGAAATGTTCAGAGAGCTACAAGGATGACTCTAACTAACAGTCTAAACAATAGTGGAGAGGCTACCTCAAATGCCTTTCTCCAATAATGAGATTGAGGAATACCTTATATGCCATCCTAGAGCCTTCATTCAGTATCTGATGGAAGCAGAAGCAGACACCCATGGCTAAACACTGAGCCAAACTCCTGGAATCCAGTTGCAGAGAGGGAGGAGTGATGAGCAAAGGGGTCAAGACCAGACTGGAGAAACCCACAGAAACAGCTGACCTGAACAAGGGGAACCTCATGGACACCAGACTGATGGGTGGAAGCCAGCATAGGACTGACCCAGACCCCCTGAACATGGGTGTCAATTAGGAGGCTTGGTCAATCTTTGGGGCATCTGGTAGTAGATCAGTATTTATCCCTAGTATAGGAATGGACTTTGTGAACCCAGTCCACATAGAGGGATACTCTCTCAGCCTAGACACATGGGGGAGGGCTTAGACACTGCTCCAAATGATATGACTTTGAAAATCCCCCATTGAAGGCCTCACCTTTCATGGGGAGCAGAAAGGGAATGGGATGGGGGGTCAGTAAGGGGCAGGGGGGAAGGGAAAGGGAACTGGGATTGAAGTGTAAAACAAGCTTGTTTCTAATTTAAATTTTTTAAAAAGGAAAAAAAAGAGTCAAGGAAGATCTTCTACAGAGACTAAGTTTAAAGTTGGACAAAAAGAAATTCAGAGTCATGAAAATGTCCTGGTACATTAAAAGTAAGACGTCTTAGAATTCACTGATCTAAGAGCTTTAAATTGGTCATGATTTCCATTTCCAACAGATGAGTATCAATATTTTAATAGTTCTTAAAGAGGACTTTTATAGAAATATTGTTAACCTCTGAAGTCCCAATAAACCTGGGTAATTACAGAGAAGAAAAAAAATGTCCCCAGATCTTGCAGATTTCAGTTCATTTGAGGGGTAACCTGTTGTCCTGATTTACACAGAGCCCAGAAATTATACAGGGCCTTCGATGCTGTAACCAGGACAGTTCTGGGGAAGCTAAAGTGTCTGCTCACCCTGAGTTCCAGTTCTGGAAACTACTAGCTGGTATCTCATTCCAAATTCTTTTCTGTCAGTTTCCTCCTCTCTAAAATACAGTATAAAATATAGGAATAATTCCTAGGAAGACCAAGTTGTATCAGCAGTCAGATTTAACTATTAAAATATTAAGGAGACATAGTTCACCAAACTGCATTGCACCGTCTCTTTATCAGACAAGGGCTTTGTGTTATCTGACTGTTCTCTTCCATGTATCATGTATTCTCTGTACATTTCAAAGGTTCTGTAATTCACTATTGTTGTGAGGAACAGAAAACCTCACTTAAATGTCATTCATCTTTTAAAAGATATTCTAAAGATTTTATTTTTGTAAAGATTTAATTTATAATTCTAAAGATTTAATTCATGCTAAGCGTGGGGGGGGGGGGGCATGCCAGAAGGCGTCACCTTTCCTGAAGCTGAAGTTTCCAGTGGTAGTGAGTGAGGTGTCCAGTGTGGGTGTTTGGAATCAAGTGTAGGTCCTCTAGAAAGAACAGGAAATGCTCTTAGCCACTGAGCCATCTCTCTAGTGCCCACTGGTTTCTTTTCAGCATCTTTACAGAGAATTGGTTTCATGTCAGTTCCAAAAGACTTTATGATCCCTTCTTCTGGAATTCCATGTTCTCTGAGGATTGGCCATGTCCCTGAAAGAGAGCACACTAAGAGTAAGTCATTAGAGAGACTGTCATGATCACATAGGTTGCTTGAGGTTAACTCCAAGAGCCAATGAATGCAATGCACAAGGGCAGGACTCCTTGTGACAAATGGCTCTGCCAGATGCACTTCTGAGTTGGGAAGAGCAATAAAATCCTTTGCAGAGGAGTGTTAACTGTGACTTAGAAAGAAATTAAGTGTCTAGAAGCAGGGGACTCTAGAATAGTAAGGGCTGGGGCTGAGAGACATAGAAGCAAGACTTCCATGCATTCTATCTCAGGTGACAACAATAATCTCCCCAGTTAGACTCAGCATATGTAAAGAGAAAGCCTTCTCCTTGAGAGAAGCCTTCCCGCCAGCCTGATTCCAGAGCTGCATGAGTCCCAAATAAACACACAGGAGGCTATATTAATTATGAAGCTGTTGGCCTTGCTTGTTTCTTACTGGCTAGCTCTGACTTAAGTATTTACCCCAGAATTATTAATCTAAGTATTTCTCTTACTGGAGAAGTTTCCGGGCTTCCTACCCCATGGCGTTACATCTTGACTCTCTGTATTTCTCCTACCCAGAGTACTCCTGGACTCCTAGTCCCACCTATCTTGCTTCCCTATTGGCCAACAGTGCTTTATTGACATATACACAGGACTTCCCCCATCAAGCATCAAAAGTGGAAGCAGAAAAATAATGGCACTCACGGAGCAAAGATGTGGCTATGGTCAACAGAGCTGCCATCTGGTTTGGGATCTGGGCAGAGCTAGTCCAAAGGAGAAAGCAGTTATTGCTAGCACCAAAGCAGGCTTGGAGCAAATGGGAACTAACATCATGAAACTAGTTGTTTCTAAAATCTGTTTTTTTCTTTAAAAAGGTATTCCTTTTAAATTAAATACAAATGTCACTATTCATGCTCAATTTGTTAAAAGATACAAACGTCTACTAAAATTTCATATTTCTGTTGTGAAAAAATATGTTCTCCAGTCAGCCACGTTTTCTGAGCATCTTAAAAGACACTAATGGGCTGCCTTCTCCGTTTCCCTCCACTATTACTCATCTCCAACCTGATAAGCAGGAAGATGACTCACGAGATCCGGCTAGCCTTTCAAAAACATAAGTTAGCCAGTTAAAAATGGTCTCAATAAGAAAGGTAGGGAAGACTGGCAAGTTGGCTCAGTGGGTTAAGATACGTCCCACCAACCCTGGCATTCTGACTCAGTCCCCAGAACTCACATGGTACAAGGAATATACTGACTTCCACAAGTTGCCCTTTTCACACATGCCCCTTAGTACATAAGTATGTGCACACTACATAAATAAATAAATAAATAAATAAATAAATAAATAAATAAATAGATGTTAAAAGAAGGGAACAGGTAAAACAATAATAGCCTTGAATTGTGAAGTCTTTAGGAACTTATTCCAGGAAGGAAAGCACATAAGGAGAAAAAAGAGATGAGGGGGGAAAAAGAGTTGGCTTCACATTCTAAGAATAAGAACACCTAATATTCTCAAATAGCTGAGAAATGCTAAGCATGCTTAGAGAGCAAATACACATTCTTGTTGTATTGAAAGTAAACAGAATAGCAAGGATACATTCTTAGGCTTTCTGGGATAGCAACACAATGTTAACAGATGACAGTGAGATAAAAAAGAAATTAATTTGGATTTTGCATTGGACTGTTATGTCAGCACATGTGATTTTTAATCTGAAATTTACAGAATAAATATTGATAGGTGGATATGGTCTCTCTGAAGTAGTTCCCTTCCCTGGCTATATAAACATACATTCTTGGCGTAGTTTGCTTAGAGAATAAGAATGCATAGTATTTTGTGGGATTGTGGAGACTGGATAAATATGTTCCCACTTATCTAAAAGACATACAGATGGGTCCTGTCATTTGTAGGCTAGTGAGCTTGACATAAAATGCAGGCAAGTTGCTGGGATGAATATTAATCGATTGGTTTGGGAATACATGCTAGCGGACATTATGAAGGCTAGGAAAAACCAGTAGACACATTAAGGACAAATCACATTGAACCTGTCACGCACACACTCACACACACGCACACGCTTGCGCACACACACACACACACACACACACACACACAATTAGTGAAGCAAATGCTTCAGATGAATCTTGATGGCTTAACAGCCCTTGTCAAGGATTCTTGTGACATCCTTATAGAAGAAATTTAAATGTATAGAGAGAGACCAAGGGTAAAATCCCACTTAATGATGATTATACCTGGCATCTTTCCAAAAGATTATAAATTAACATAAGCTAATGCATTTTGTCTGCATGTAGGAGATTTCCCTCCAAATTAATCAATAACAAATGATACCTTTATGATCAGCTATGTCAACTACAAGAAAAGGGAAGAGAGATTTAATACATCAAGCTGCAAATTTTTCAAATTGCTTTTATGGGAAAGGAACTCAAATTCATGATGCTTTTGAAGAAAAATATGTTTACTTGGCCAGTTGGTCACTATTAGTCAGTTGGAATTGGATATAATGTATTAGGAAATATTTAGAAGTCAATTCTTGAGAAAATTCTATGAGTGTGTTATGTGACTTGATAAACAACTACGTCAATTCTAGATATGTATGCTTAAAAAATCACTGAATTGTACTTAGTATTTTTAAAGCAGATATGGAGGGGACCTCAAGGGAAGAAGACAATTGATTGATATTTAAAGATAAAGACCTATTCTGAAAAGTGAACAATTATAGAAAGGATGAGAGATGTCTCAACAGCAATATGGAAAAGCTTCTAGCTTTTCACTGAGTGCTTAACTTTAATGTTGGTGCTATAATGAAAGACCGAATTTTAAATGGGAATTTAGGTTCTGTCAAAAAATGCCTGCTTGGCTGGGCAAGATAGCACAGTATTTAGGAAGCAAGAGCATCAAAAATTTGAGAACTGAAGGCCAGTCTAGACTACACATTATTTAATAAACTAATAAATAAAGAAAATGTGTAACTTATGAAGCAAAGGACTTGATGGTCCCATCAATTCTGGGCAGGTTTGTTTTGCTCTGAGAACTACACTCTATGAGGGCATTCACTAGGGAAAGCTCAGGGAGATGTGGACACAAAATGGTCTGGTCGTATGGAACAGATGGAAGACCTGGAGTCCATTAGCCAGAGAAGCAGGTTGCAGCAGTGGGGGTTGGGGAGTCAGTATCTTCTATTTCCAGGAATCTGACTTGGTAGGACAGGAATCTGCCTTGTGTTCTTCTCAACATGGCTGACCCAAACATAACCAAGAGCATGGGAAAAGTGCACAATGAGGCCTTGGAGGAACGTTCCCAAAAATGAGCAATCAAAACCAAAAGATACATTATTAAATTTGCAATGTCCAAAGCTGCCATTTCGTATAAACATGATATTGGAATCATGGCACAGAGCCAAAACAAAGAGAACTAGGAGTCATTACACACAGCATGCTAGATAGCAACTAAGAGTGATGGCCAACTATCAACAGTCAGCATGGATTAGTGAGGGTCTCATGGAGCCCTACCCATCCCGGATGGCTACTGATGGATACTGATGAAAGGGCAAACATTGTCTTCAGTTGAGCACCTACTGATAAGCCCACCAGGACCCAGTGGGTAGCTCCAAATCCATGTCCTGGTTAAACTCAGTAGGGAAAAATAAAACTAAAAGGTAACAACAAAGACAAGTCAGAGACACTTAAAAGCCTTAGAACCACCAGGGGGCAGTGACTTTCCTCATGACCTCACCTCCACAGGCATAAAGATGGAATGCCCTGTGCATTTTGTGGGACTAAATAAAAGCAAATGAGAAAACCTACCCAAGCATCTTATGCCCAAATATGGAAACAGAAAGGATATTTTGTATCTGTGTTTTCAGCACATGATATACAAGGTCAGTTTTTAAGGTCTTGTCCCAAGAGGAGATCAATTTTAAAAATCAGAATATGTGTATATAGTGTGTGTGTGTGCGTGTGCGCACACACACGCACACACCCCCCCAAGTGGTGTCTAAGGATATGCCACCACCTCAACTACAGGGATAGTAGGCTTGCACCTACTGGCAACATTATAATACCATATCTTTAGTTCTTGAAAACATGAATTTATAAAGACAATCTGTTTATTCCAACTACTAAGTTATAACAAAGGTATAATTCTAACAATATCTTGATCTGCATCCCATGGATGGTGGCATTGGTTTCATCTTGGTAGTAAGTTTCTATACCTCTTGCAAGGAATTGTGGACAATATTTGCCTTCAGATCTGGAAATGATTTACTTGAGTAGAATGACTTTTGAAGAAAAGATGCTAACATGCTAAACACTCTGTCATAATAAAATTATAAGCTCAGATGATCTCTGGGGCCTTATGGATGGCTCAGTGGAATATAGGTTCTCACTGTCTAGCCTGACCACCTGCCTTCAATTCCTGAAACCTGCATAGTAGAAAGACAGACAGAACTGACACAAGTTTTTCTCTGGCTTCCACACATTCAGCATGACAAATCTGCATCCACCCACAGACACATACTAAATAAAAGTAAGGCATTTTTAATCAGCCTGTCCCCCAAAGATTTTATAGTATGCCTATTCACTTTCACACATGAGATGAACTAAGTATCATTTGGAGTAAATCATTCAGGCATTATAATAAAGTGAAAGAGGAAATGATTATTATTTAATTATAATAAAGCAATAAACTCTGGGACAGACTGGCCTATTTTTGAATGTTTGCATATTCATACATATGTGTGCATATACACAATACCAAGCTTGCACAGGGTATATATCAGTGGGCTTTTACTAATTCAAGAAGGGTCCTTATTCTTTTTTTTTCTTTTTTTTAATTTTAAATAGCTTGTTTTACATGTCAATCCAAGTTCCCTCTCCCTCCCCTCCTCCCGCACTCCCCTCCCCCCCCCCCCCGCCTCCCACCCTATTACCAAATCCTTCCACATAGGGGATATCTAGAGTCTGTCATTTTACTCTTGGTAGGGTCCAGGCACTCCCCTAAGAGTCCAGGCTGAGAGAGCATCTCTCTTTGCGCTATAGGCACACGAAGACAGTTTGTATACCAGGGATAGACACTGATCCACAGCTCAGGGCCCCATAGGTTGCCCAGGCCTTCTCACTGACACTCACATTTGGGGGGTCCAGATCAGTCCCATGCTGGCCTCCCCACTGTCGGTCTGGGGTCCAAGAGCTCTCCCCTATTCAGATCAGCTGTCTCTGCTGGTTTTGCCAGCCCATTCTTTGCCAATTTGCTCATCACTCCTCTCTCTCTGTCACTGGGTTCCTTGGGTTCAGTTCAGTGATCAATTGTGTGTTTGCCTCTGCTTCCATCAGTCACAGGATGAAGGCTCCCAGATGGTTATAGACATCAAGTTCATTATCAGGAATGGGCATTCGAGGTGGTCCCTCCACTATTGCTTAGCTTGCCAATTGGTGTCATCCCTTTAGATCACTTGAGGTCACTCTGGTGCCTGATCTGTCTTCGATCCTATGATTCCCTCTTCCCCCTATTCTACCCCCACCCCCTCAACTTCCTGTTCCCCCATGACCAACTCTCTTCCTCTTCACCCCCTCTCTTCTTCCCAGGTCCCACTCCCCCCCACCCCTCGCCGTGTTCCCCATCCATTCAGAGGATCTTGTCTCCATCCTCTTCTCTTGGGTACTATGCATATATGCATATCTTTTAGGTTCTTTCCTGTTTCCCAGACTCTCTATCTGTGGAAGTGCAGACTGGCACTATCCTGATCCA